ACTGTTGTGGAAAAAATCAAAAGTTCTTAAAATTTTAAAATAATTGTGAAAAGCCAAGTGGTGGGGGGTGACTTAGAAAAGAGCTAAGAGGTGTGGAAATGTGACATATGCACTAGAATTTCTGGAGAAACCAACTAGAATGAGAAGAGAATGTAGTTTAGACGATGACATGTGAAACATGCTTCAGAATCATCCCAGTCAGGTGCCAATTTGGGCTGAAGCTAATTTATCTCTAAGTGTCATCTTGCTACCTAGGACTGCACAGATAGCCTGCAAAGCTCCTGAAGAGGCCAGGAAGAATCAGGTCAGAGTCACAGGGACAGCTGACTCCCTGAGAGGCTGTGCCTACAAGTATCCATAGGGTATCTATGATACCTAGAGATGGCATGTGTCCTTGGTAGATGGTAATGAAAATTAGACATTATAAGTATAATGGATTTGAAAATGTGGCTGTTGGAGAATTCTCATCTATACGATTTTCCAATTATACTGAATAAGGATGAAGAATAGAAAAAATATATTAACCCAACAAAGGGTGTGAAATAGAAACACTGGTGGGTAGAAAATAGGAAATCATAGCCATTGCTGTATGCAGGTGCAAATCAACCCTCTAATGGTACTTTCTGGTACTCCACATGAAGGTCTGCCTTCAGCCTTTCTTTTGCAGATTATTTTGAGCCCCAATATATTGGGTACAGCACTCTTTGAAGACCAGCTTCCTCTTGACTTCTGACAATTCTGAGATCTTGTTTTCCCTTCAGATTCTCTTTGCAGATGGTGCTGTGAGCAGCAGTCCTGATTCAGGTCCTGTTTACACATCTCCTGAATTGTCTACAAGCCCCCATAATGGAGATTTGGTGGACAATGCCTCTCAGCCCAAATCAGAAACAGCACCTTCTGAGATCATTACCAAGAAAGGTAACGATCTAAGTATCTTAACTTGCAGGACTTACAGTTTTCAAATGCTTTACAGGTGTTCCATATTATGATGTTGCTCATTGTTTTATTATATACATACCTATTCATGTACAAATACACACTCATATGTATATGCTAATTTTGTTTTCCAACACAGGATTGCTTACTACTTCGTAAACTGGCTTCTTCCTCTTTGTGGAATAAATAGTGCACATTTTCCCATGCATAATGAGCAGTTTCCTATGTCATTGTACCCTCTTGCACATTAGCTGTACTATCTGGGATGGTGTTTTAGGGGCTTGTTAACTAAGTAATAAAAGATTCTGAATCAGCATCCCTGGGATGCTGTTGACCTTCCTTTCAAGTTGAGTTAGGGCCCCTCAGAAGCACCCAGGGGCTTCCATTTAGCAACTTGCAAAGCAGAAAGAAAAAAAGTGCATTCAAAAGTGTGCATTCTCAGGAGATTCCTGATCTCAACTCTAACTTTCCTCCCTTTGCATCTAATGGGCTACACCTGCCTGGGGTTCAGTTCTGCCAAAACAAAGAGCCAATATTGTGTGCCGTTTTTTGTCTGACTTGTCGGGTGTAAGAGGTATTAGGTAGCAGTCAGTAGCATCTGCAATAATTGAAAGCAAAGACTGCTGCTCTGACGATTTCTGTTTATACCCCTCCCAGTAGTACAATGTGCAAAAGGATGCTTTCACACACCCATGCCAGTACCAAATATTATTCTCTAAATGTCATTCAGTTTGACACTTAATGAATCTTGTTACTATTTGACTAATAGTGTAATTGAATAGTTGGGTGTTTATTGAGTTTAATTCATAGGAACTTCCACAGGAATGATTGCATTTTAGTTTTAACACTCCCTATCTTTTCCACTGTAACAATTTTCTGAAATTTTTGAATTGTTTAAATCTCCTTCTACATTCATTTCCAAGTCTCTATAGTGTTCCTATTTATTTTAATCACTGATTCTTAATTGCTGAAATATAATTTATAACCTTATGCAGGATCAATAATTCAAACCTATGTTTGAAGACAGCATACATATTCGGTACAGTGTTCTCTTTATGTTTATTATATGAAACTTGTTAGTTGTGTTTCCCAGATGTACCTGAGTTCAGCAGCCTTTTCTGTAAAGGGCAAGATGGTAAATCTTCAGACTTGGCAGGCCATGTGTTCTCTGTCCCTGTAACTCAGCAGTTCTGCTGGAGCATGAGAGTACTTTTTGATAATACATAATTCAATAAGCCTCAAATATGGTGTGTCCCAATAAAAAACTATTTATGAACATTAAAATTGGAATTTGATATTGTTTTCATGCATCATAAACTACTTTTAAATTCCTTTTAGCTGCATAGAAATACGAGGTGTCATTACTTCACAGACAACACAGAACAGGCTACAAGCCTTCCTTAGAGCTAACACTCCCAGCCCGTACCTCCTGTCCTTGCATGCTTTTAATCTCCCATTCAATTTACTCAGCTGTATTGATGCTGACTGACAGGCGAGCAGCACCTGCTCAGTGCTGTGCTCCTTGTACTCCTGCTTGCTTTTGGTGTAAGGTAAATTTGTCTCTTTAATGATTCTGTCAAATTTTCCTTCAGATAGTTTGATAGTTTAATTGAAATACTGCTTTAGAATTATTCTCTTTATGGTAAGTTTACCTTGTCATCGTTTCACAGGGTTGTTTTTTACTTTTATTGTAAGATTTCCCTTCCCTAATGTCTCTTTGCTTAGATTGCTGTGTCTCTGCTAACCACTGTTCTAAGTAACCTCATGGGTGTGACTTTTCCACTCTCATATTCCTCTGTCTGTAGCACCTGTTGAAATGTGTCTCTTATGTATAGCATATAGGTGGATGTGTCAAAGCTGAGTTTGAAAGGTTTTGTTTCTAGAGGTTTTAATTCATTTATAGAAGAGCTGACATTTCCTGAAAATCTCCTTATATATTGTGCTTATTCTCAAATGATAGTTTCACTGAGTGTGAAATTCTAGATTGATGCACATTGACAGGGACCTCATATTTTAAAGATGGCTGTTAGTCTAATTCCTGATGCTTTAAATATCATTTGTCCCCAGATCATTGCCCACTTTTTACAATAGTTTCAATACAATAAGACTGCCTTCTCAGTTTTTTATTAAATTTTTAAAATTGAAATATAATTGCACCCCTCCCTATTCTGATTCCTCCTTTCAACCCCTTGTTCCCCCCACACCCCTCCCAAATTGATGGTGTCTAGTCTTTTGATTACTGTTGATATATAGATATATAGATATATAGATATGTGTGTGTGTATAAATATGTACATACAACTCAAGGTTTTGAGCCCATTTAATATGGCTAACATGTGTGTATGATATGTAGATGATTTCAGAACTGACTGGTTGTTATTAAACAGTCAATGGGAGTGCTCAACCTTGGAGAAGACTGTTTTCTCTCACATAGCAGTCAGTTGTTATATGTAGTAATTTTTCTAGGGGTAGGGACCCCCAACTCCCAGTTATTCTTTCTAGTGCTAGTATCATTGTTCAGCTCTTGTTCAGACAGCCATATGGATGAGGTATCATGTGTGTGATACTTGTCTTTTCCAGGAGACAAAATCTAGACTTAGCAGACTTTTCTGTTTTCTGTCTCTCATAGTTTTGCTACCCCCCCTTCTACAATGTTTTCTGTGCTATAAGTGCATGAGTTGTGTTGGTAGATGTATACATTGGGGCTAGACTCTCCACAACCTACTGATCACTATGTTATGGCCTGTTGTGGTTTTCTGTAATGGACTCTTTGATATAAAGAGAAGCTTCTTTGGTGTCAGTTGAGAGCCACATTTATCTGTAGTTATAACAATAAGCTTTAGAATGTAATTAGGAATTATGTTGGTCTAGTAAAGTAGTGATGGTAGTGTCTTTTCTAAGATTCATGACTTCACTAGTCCCTGGTAACTGGCTAGGTTTCTAGTACCATGCATGATTTTCCTCTTATTGAGTGAGTCTTAAGTCCAATTACACAGCTGTTGGTTACCATCAAGATGTGACACTATTACACCTTTAGGTATCAGTGGTCATGTTGGTCATTGTTGCAGTTCATGGGCATTACAGATAGACAAAACTGTTGACTGCTTCCCTCCCTTGGCAGCTTATGTAATACTTTCTAGTAATATGAAAGCTAGAGCACAGGGAGGAAGCTTCTGAGTTATATCCATCTCAAACCTCCCAAGTCCTGTATCTGAAGTATGCAGTGTCTTAAGAAATAGGTAGAGACTAAACCTGCACAAAATTTACAGGGAAATGGATGGAGCTAGAAAATAACAAGTAAAGTAACTCAGACACAGAAAACCAAGCAGCATGTGTTCTGTCTTTTTGTATAATCCCTAGCTCCAAGTCTTCAGCTGTGAGTATTCATCCTAGAGTGCCAGAAACCACGAAAGTAAAAAAAGGACCAGGAGAGAGGAGGAGAACTAGAGAAGAAATAGCAGAATACAGCTGATGTAAAAAAGAGAATGACAAAAACAGGGAAGAGGACTCATTGGTGAATGGACAAGGAGATCACTACAGAGGACAGAGGAGGGAGAATGAATAATGTCAAGGGTGCTTGATGAGGCCTCGAGGAATCATATTACTTTATAGTTACCTCAAATTATATGATATATTTTTATGAAATTCTGCCACTTGGGACAACAGTCCTCCCCACAAGAGCAATATATTATTTAACAAAACTCCCAGGGCCAAGCATGAGAAACCTCCATTGGAATTCTTGGTCAGGGTTGTCCAAGTAACTCTCCAAATGATTCAGGCTATTGCTGTAGCCCCTGTTGCTTCTCAGAGATTGGAGGTAACCTATCTCCTCTCTGCTCACACTTACTAGTCCCTATACACCAGGTATCTCACCCTTCAGACTCTAAGCCTGTTCAGTTGGTGCCTCCAAATCCCCTTTGAAGTGCTTGTGTCTTGGTGGGTTTTTTTTATATTACATGATCATTTTTATTTCTTATGCCTTTAACTCTAAATGCTTTGGACCAATACAAATATAGATGCATTCCTTTGAAAATAGTTCTGTGTCAGGAATGAAAATATCAGGGATCTGATATTAATCCTAATATTAAATAATTATTTTGAGGGGGTTTGGGAATGTCACATAGCGGTGGTCATTCTCACATGAAGATTCACATGACTGCTGCTTGTGATCATACACCACAAACATTTTTGCTTTTTCTGCTCAGCCCCAGATTGAGCACTGAACACTTCATCTGTAGTGCTGGGGTATATAGCAGCAGAAAGCAGCATTTATTTTGTGAGTAGTTCACACTTTCTGAGAACAGCTCTTTACAGCCTCAAGCTTCTGGGGGAGTATTTTGTACTTAACTTCTTGAACCATCTTGGGTGAGTTATGAAATTTGTTTCTTCTTTAGTCCTTTGTTACCCCAGTTTGAGAAGGCCACCTCACAGGCCAAAGCTACCTTTAGAACAAGCTTTACTTCCTTGTGTCCCTGCCTCTACTCATTCCTTGGCTAGTGCTGACTATATCATTCTGTTATTACTTCAGAGACACTTCCAGCTAACGAAATTTACTGGCATTTTTTTTTGTTATTTTCTATGGAATTCTTGGTGACTAGTTGGTGATGTTGCTGGAAATAGAAGATGAGCTGTTGCTATTCCTTATGCCTGATCACTGCCCCATCTTCTTCACTTTATCTGTTTGCACCCATAATAAAGGAAGAGAGTGGTTACTTAAGAGTTCAGAACATGCATATGCTCCTCTCTTTGTGTTCGTCCACCTCTCATCCTTTCATGGCTATATCCCCCCCATCTCCACTGGCAACGGCATTGTGTTTATCTGTCTGTCTGTGATCTCTGTTACACTAATATGTTCATTTGTATCTACTGCTGTCTATAATCTCTACTACACTAATATGTGCATTTGTGTCTACTTCTGTCTGCAGTCTCTGCTACACTAATATTTTCTAACTATTGCTCATACTTTCTTTTATGTCTAATTTTCCATATTCCTGTCAAAAGTACCCAACTCATCTCTTGGCCACTTCACTGTCCCTTTTAAATGTTTTTTTTTTTTGTAGGAAGTCCTAAGATCTATAACAGGTCATAAAGATACACTTTACTGGACCCATGGCTCCCTCTTCAGTCTCTCCTCTTGATAAAAATGTATCTCCTGACTAAAATATTGCTCATTGGTGCCTGACATACCATGCTGTGTTCCCCCAACCCCCCTGCCCTTATTCCATTATCTTTCTAGGATCCCCATGTTGGCATAACTTTTCCACTTCTGTTGATGAGAAAACAATAGAGAATAGAACAGGGGAAGAGAGGAAAGAGAAGAAGAAAATACCACACCAAATATTTGCTCCCTCTTGTGGGAGATCTATATATGTTGCACACCTGGCACTATGCTTCTCTCTGATGCTCTTCTGAAAGTGCTAACAAGTCACAGACAAATCCTGGGGCAACTGGGGGGCTGAACTCACTATGTGTCTCTTCTTCAATTCTGCCCATTTTTTGAGTCCCTGTGCATTGGACTGAGACTTGTAGTCTGACACATGAACATTTTGTGCTCTGAATCTAGAGACTCTTTCCAAAATTAACAATTCTTTACTTTCGAATTGTAGTTTGTTTCTAAGTTTACCTCATCAGTGAGACCTGGTGCTCTACACATGTGCCCCCCAGATGTTGAGGAGGATGGAAATAGGAACATGCATCCGATGGGTGTTGATGTAGTGTCCAGCTGTCACTTTTGCTGATGAGAAGACAAGGATTTGCTTGCAGATTCAGAATGGACAAGATAGGGGAGATGAAACATTTCAAAGACTGTAGTAAATAGATTTTACATGCCAAAGAAGAGAGACACACCCAAAAGTGGAATAAAGACCACATAATCTGGGATTCACAGAATAAGGAAGATTAAAACTGTTCAGAAATAAACACAATGGTTTCTGTTCACCAAACAGTGAGCTGCACATAGGTGTGTATGCCTGGAGGAAGGTAATGGCAATTCAGCTAAATTTCAGTCCCCGTACTGACCTATTAGTAACCTGTTGGTGACTATTGCTTTGGCTTGTCTACATGTCTAAGGACATTTATGCAGTGTCAGGACTTAATGAGCAATCAATGAAAGTGTTCTAGTTACATTGCACTAATTGTCCTTGATCATCCACAGGAAAAGGTCACAAAAATCAAATATCGATGGCAAATAAGAGTGAAGCCCACGATGTTCTCCCAGAGGTGCCTCCACCAACTCCCGTGGAGTCCCACATTGGCACCTGGTTTACCACAACACCTGATGGAAGAAGAATTGGCACCAAAGGACTAGAGAAAATTGTGGACTTGAAACCGTTTTTATCCTTCCAGGCTACAGATCCCATCAATGGAACGGTATGACAAACTGGTGCATATCACAAGAGTATCTAAACCTTTAGAGTCTTGAAACATGTAGAAGGATGTGTAAGAATCTTTCAAATATTTGTTAGGCAATAAGTGGGTGGGTTGGTGGGAAGGTAGGTAGGTAGGTAAGTAGGTAGGTAGATGGGTGAGTAGACCCACCTACAATCACTGTTTGGTATTAGTGGCAAGCATGCTGTTTTCTGAAGTGTGTGTGTAGGGTGTGTGGGTGTGTGTGTCTGTGTGTGTCTGTGTGTGTGTCTGTGTGTGTGTGTCTGTGTGTGTGTGTCTGTGTGTATGTCTGTGTGTGTGCTGTATGTGTGTGTATGAAATCCTGTTAGAACAAAATACTAATTTTTGAAAGGAGGATTATACATTTTTGTTCTTTTTTTTCATTTACTTAAGTGATTAATTTGTTGTTGTTGTTATTGTTGTTGTTGTTGTTGTTGTTGTTACTGTTGAGACATAGCCAAGGCTGGCTTGAACTCCTGCATTAGCCTCTGTAGTGCATTGTAATGTTGACTAGCTCATGAATTGTTTATACTACTTAAGCACTGATGTGACTAAAGTCACCTATGTATTAAATCTATTTGTATATCTGTTTTCTTTCTGGGAACTAACCACCTGTGCCAGTGTTTCTGCTTTTCATGTTTAGATCATGATTACTCGAGAAGACAAGGTGATCATTGTTGAGAAGAAGGATGGGACCCGGATCGTGGACCATGCTGATGGTACCAGAATCACAACCTTTTACCAAGTGTATGAAGATCACATTACTCCCCCAAATGATGAAGAAACCAGTGAGTCATATTTTTAAGAAGATAACAACAGAATGTTAGAGCATGAGTCAGGTAGAAAGCTCACCATCGAAAGTATTCATATAAATAAATAAGTCATCCAGGGAATACCCATGCAATACAAAGGACCTTCCCTGTAACATGTTTATCATATAAAATGTTAACTTTGGGCTTTTATTATATAGATAGCCTTGTACCTTTGTCTGATAAAATAGGCATACAGGTGCAATTTTCAACCTGGCATATCACTGAAATATTGCATAAAATATAAATGTTCATCAGTGGTAGAATAGAAAAATAAAATGTACTATAATACTAAAAGGGGCACTATTTCAGGATGGTAAGAGACTATATACATATATACATACATACATACATACAGACAGACAGATAGACAGACACTGAATATAAACACACACACTAAATATACACTAAATACAATCACATATTTAATATAAAATAAGCACATATATTTAATACAAATATACTGTATATAGAAATGTTACATATAAACACAGATGCTATAAATACATGCACATACATATATACATACACATAAAATATTTCTGGAGACTTCAAGTTTGGAAACAAAGGCCTGTTATCTCAGCTTCCAGGAGGATGAAGAGGTCAAAGCCAGTTTGTATTACATAGTGAAACACTCTCTCAAAAATAAAAATTGATAGAGACCTCAATACAATGTTGACAAATACATGTATAAATGATAGATACAGTAATTATATAATTTGATAGATTAGTATATAATTTATATAAATATAAAGTACATAAATCTCATGTTGTTTATTCTTAACACATATTTATATAAAGTTATAAAAAGGAATTGCACAAGAAAAATAAACCTAGGCATAGACAAAATGCCTGTTTTCCTCTACCTGGAGACTTTGTTCATATACATATTTTGAAACAACGTGACCAAATAGGAACAAGTATCAACTGTCATTGGTGAATATGTTTAATGAATTTCAGTTTTATCTTGAAAAATGTTTTCCACTTCTCAAAATAAAAGAATACTAGCAGCATATTCAATAAGACAGCATGCTAAGTCACATCAGAATGTAGATTCTAGAACTATTCTGAAGGATATTGACAAGAATTGCAGGCCACACTTGGAGCCTGTGTAATTCTTCACAGCCAGGTCTTTCTCCATGAGGAATCCAGTTGGCCAGGAGATCAGCTGAGGCTGATCGCCCACTGCATGCATCCTACCCAATCTCCTTACCTTGTGTTTTATTTGTAGCCGAAGGTTCAGGGACTGTCACTAGACAGGTGAAGTGTATGCGGATAGAAAGCTCACACTATGCCACTATTATCACCAACTGTGAGGACAGTAGCTGCTGCGCCACCTTCGGGGATGGAACATCTATTATTGCAAAGCCACAGGGATCATACCAGGTGGGTCATGTTGATAGATGGAGCCTGACATATGTAAATGCCCCAATGGTAACAAGTCACACTGTGCTGGGACAGTGAGAATTTCCACAATGGCACCCTCAGTTGCTCTCCTCACTCACTCACCTGATACACTTCTCACACTGTTGTCTATTTGTCTTTTTAATCTGTTCTAGGAATAAATTGTCGTGCTTGTTGTGAAAAATTAGTAGTTTTAAGTCAAGGTTAGGCTAAGGAGCTCCCCACACTGGATTAGCTTCCCCTCTAATCTCATTTTTGACTGCAGTCCATCCCCAATGCTCCAGTGGAACTGAGGGCACAGCAGTCTGTGTGATCCTGGGAGGGCAGTTTGCCCAGACGAAGCAATGTTTCATTCCTTCAAAAGTAAAGGAAGAACTTGGCAACACACTCCTTCCCGTTAAACACAACATGCTGGTGTCAGCCTACAGTCTCTTTAGTCTTTGAAAGATGTTTCCCTGTTAGAGAAGGGACATGAGCATGACATCACACACCATGTTACAAGAGACTGAGAACCAAGAACCAAAATGTGATAGATTCATCATCATCACTGGGGCAGTGGCTGAACTGATTTATCCATTCCATCTCCCTGGTCATTATACTCTCTCTTTTTTTATCCAGTGTATATTGGTGTGTGTCAACGTAAGGGATGAAAATGAGAGAGGAAAGAAACCATAAGTGTGAGTGTTCATTAGCAATGACACCTGTAGTGATTTAAATAAAAGGGAGCCCCATTGGCCCATAAGGAATGGCAACATTAGGAGGTGTGGTATTGTTGGAATAACTGTGTCTCTGTGGGTAGGGTTTGAGGTCTCAGATGCTCAAGCCATGCCCAGTGTGGCAGTTTACTTCCTGCATTCTCTGGATCCAGATGTAGAACTCTCAGCTTCTTCTCCAGCACAGTGTCTGCCTGTGTGTCTCCATGCTTCCTGCCATGATGATAATAAACTAAATTTCCAAACTATAAGCCAATTCCAATTAAATGTTTTCTTTAAAAGAGTTGCCATCCATGGTCATGGTGTCTCATCACAGCAATAAAACACTAAGAAAACACCCAAAGCATAAGCATCATCAACTTTTAAAAAATTAGAAAACAGACCTAGTTCACTTCATATAGGTGTAAAAACCCGATATGATAGTCACAGCTGGAGTCTGGGTCCTTGGAATGTACACTCCAGTGTGGATTTATAAGATGGTCAGGAAATTCCTGATAAGGAGATTGGTTAACACAGTCTCTTTCTAGAGATCAGGTGTCAAGTAGCTATTTCTCTTGACAATGACATCAAAGGTGATATTGGCTAAAGGACAATCAGAAGAGTTGGTAGCCTGAGATAAGCTCCTGTCCACCCAGAAGCTGTCAGACTCCTAGGAACTGAGAAGGTACTTTGGGCAGGTCTGCCACACACAATAAGGGCCTTCACCTTTTTCCCTTTAAAAGTGTATACCAAGTGCACACCGGGTCTGGAAGATCAGCAGAGCTGAGGGAGGGCAAATATTTTAAATTGAATTTTTTTTCAGAATTTTATACATAAGTTCTGTATTTACATTTCTATCATTCCTTTTTCCCTTCTAATTCTTCCTGTGCTCCCCCTCTCACATTCATAGCCTCTCTTCTTTAATCATTATTGTTATAGACAGACAGACAGACTGTATGTGTTTACAGCTAATCACTTGGGATTGGATAACCTGTTGTGGGAAATATATACATATATACATATATGTAAAAACAAACAAACAAACAAACAAACAAACAAGCTGACAGGCTTCCTGTGCTACTGCCAGCAACTCTCAGGTCCAGCATGTTCCCACTGCCTCTGTCTCTAGCCCCCTGCAGCAACCAGTCACAGTATTCCCAGCTCAGGTTTGCCCCCGGTGCTAAGCCAGCACATCTCACAGACCCTCTGGCTGGGGGCCCCCAAACATTGGTGTGGTCACTGTCTCCACCTGCCAGCTACGCTGCCTCCACAGCTCTAGGCCTAACTCCCTGTAATAACCACCAACCTCATGGTTGGCTATCACAATACCCAGTAACCTGGTAAAATCAAAACCTTTAAAGCTTGTAGTAAACCAGTCATATTTATATATCAATAAATTCTCAATACACAAGATGCCCACACAATAATTTCAAGGCCACTTAGTAATGGTACAAGTTGCCCACCTAAAAAAGACAAGTTACCCCAATCATTCTATCCCTATATGAAATCATATCTACCTATGGCTATTTAAGGCCACGCTGGTTCAGGATCTTCTTCCTGTCTGCCCTCCATCTTGATTCTCCCTCTCCCTCTCCCTCTCCCTCTCCCTCTCCCTCTCCCT